ATTTATACTCTTTGGTGGTACCCGATTATCGAGTAGCACAGATGCGAAGGGAACCTTAGGAGTGAAGAAAGTCATTGAAAGAGCTGCTGTACTAGTTCACACATCAAGCGCGAGGAGCATCTTGTTAGATGGATACCGGCGCTATCCAAATGTACATTTATTAAACATCTTAACTAAGCCACCAGTGTGCTCCTAATCAGCATGTCTATTTGAGTAGGCCACTGCTGACCTTAATTTGACTCATTTTACAGGTCCTTTCTTCAGGTAAATACCACCGCCAATTAAAGGCTGCCTTTCTGTGTTTCCAATTGAATGTACAGTACAGTAGAGTGAAAAGTGTAGAACATGCCAACCCAACATCACAAGCACGGCCATAATCAGGTATTGACAACATGATTCCATAGTGTCCCGTTGTTTATTGATGTCGGTGTTGCGAACATGTGTGTCACTGCTCGGCTGAACACAACAAATATTTACTGTACTGTTAAATAGTTCCCAATACAAATGTCAACATAAACAAGCACAAATAGTCTATTGTTAGATACAGAGTTGCATTTATTTATTCAAATGAATATATTTTTTTCTCAAGGTCCCTCTCTTGCCATTAATATTATTATTATTATTATTATTATTATTATTATTATTATTATTATTGTTATTATTATTATTATTATAAATATCAATATCTTATTTACAACACTTTAAAATGATCTATAAATTGATTCCTAATTCTATAAATATAATCTTAAATAAAGACTTCATTATTATAATCATCTCTGCATTATAAAACTTTTTGACCAGAACAAAGTGACTTAATCCTTGCTTCCACACTCACACCACACTACAGTGTTTTTACAGTAATTGTTGCACCATGTAGGCGGGACATCTCTTATACTTTGTTTAGCGAACTCGCCGCATGCAAATATTGATGATTTTGAATGGAAATAACATTTTACATTTGGCTAATTAGAGTACCCGCCACCACAAAAACATGGGAATTTCATTAAAAAAATAAAAGTTTGTTTTTATTTTTATTATGCCCTCCGCTGCCTTGAAATCTTCAAAGATAAGATATATCAGGTAAGTATATTTCTTCCTAATTATATAAATTTGAAGCATAAATCATCCCATTACACTGTTTACATTCACCAATACAAGGTTATTTTTATTTTCTCCCTCCGTCTGGATGTTTTTGGCAAAAAAAACTCTTTGCTAAATAAGAAAACAATTTTTTTCCACCCTCCTCTAATGATATTAAAAAAATAAGTTTGCGATGCAAAGAATAAAAAGTTTCGCCTTTTAGCATGTAACAATTTGTTTAAAACCAGGATAACCTATAATTAGTATGTTTTCACCATCGTTGGTGTAGTGCATAGGTGGGCAAAGTATGGCCCACCAGTGATTTTTTTCGCAACCTGCGAAAATGAATTACTGTATAAACACTGTGTGCGGCCAACCAACCGTCTTTGGCTAGAAAACACCCTTGTTTTTTGCAGCCCGACACCGATTATCTGTATAATTAATAGTAACCCTGAGCATAAAGTGATCATAAAGCAGTGTATGAAGGTTTTTAGAAGTGCACTGAAACATCAAAGTTTGGGTGCGGCCCTCGGAGTTGAATCAAAAATTTGGCCCTCCAACCAATTTTAGTGTCCCCCTCCCCCTGGTATAGTGTAATTATTTGTTAATAACAAAAGTCATAATAATAGAATTTATAATGCACCTATTTTCCATCTTAATTTCAGAGAAATATCCAATTTTGTGTTTTGTAATTAACTTTTTGTAATTAATTCAACTACGAATGATAGGATACTGTTCATTTAACATATAGTGGCGTGTCAGGCTACTTATACAGTAGTATACAGTGGCTGGATGTATCAACAGCGACTGAAGAACGTGCAGTACGATTCGGCACTTCCAGTGGCCAGGTGTCTCTTAACTCAGACTTGAACCATGTTTAATATGCAATTGAAGTGAAATTCTGAATGCACTATTGGAAGATAGAAGCGGTATTTCCAATCAGTGCCTGAAATGATTTGACAATAATTTCTTTTTAAGTCAATCATCACTGACTTATTTTAAGTCTAAGACCACTGAATTACTATTTTATTTGGATATTGTAGGTCATAGGTTTTTAATACTGTACTGTTGACATTTTTAAGTAGGATTGGTCATAAAGTGCATGGTACACTGTCCTTGGTTTTTGCCTCCAAAAGCACACAATGTATGATGTCCTTAGCCATTTGCTTTACACTTGAATCTGTAATCACTTTTAACTCGTCCGCCACATATCGTCCAAAATTATAATCCGGGTCAGAAACACATGTATCTGGTTTTTTTGTGGCCATTTCCAGGCAAAGAATCGCTTTCTCCAAAAGCTGTCTCTTCCTAAATAAACGTTTTGATTGCTTTAACAATTTGGTCTTGTGCAATCTTTGCTTTGTTAAGCGTGGCATGGATTTGGGTTGAACAGCATAGTTTAATGTACTTTCAGACTCATTCCTCTTATTGTTGTCTTCATCATCTGCTTTATACTCGGCATCCTCATCGCTGTTCAGTTTCAGTCGTGTCTAAAAATAATCACACATTTTATTAAAGATATACTGTCCCTGTCTGTGTTGGAACAAAATTCAATGTTTCTTCATGTTTCAGAGAATGCATTTAAAATGTAAAATATCACAATGCAAACATAATTTTGAAGGTACAGTTGAACTTGCCTAACTTGAATAATTACTAAGTCAATCTTATTTTACATGCCAAATTGTTGTGATCCCATTAATCAATGATCTGGAAGTCAAATTGTATCAAAGACAAACAATTTTTTCAATGCTGTTTTGGATTCAACTCAGTCAATTGTATGTCCTACTGTACATTGTGTGATCAAATCTCAAAACCACATAACATTGAATTAAAGCATCGAATAGGATGAAATCTTTACACTGTCTGCTAGTTTATTGGTAAATATTGGATCGGATTTATTCGGTGTAAACACCAAGGATAACCCACAAAAGTCTGAAGAAGACTTATTTCCAGAGGGGTCCTTCTGGTGGTGACTAGGCAGAGAATATTCTGTATTAATTTTTGAGGATTTTCTTTCTAACTTTCAATGAAGAGATAATTTAATTTTCTACACAAGCAAAATATATAATATATAATTATATATGTGGTTTCCATCTAAAATCTTTCCACATTAATGTAGTAAATAATTAAATACATGATACAGTATTATTCACCAAAAAATTTATTTTTTGCATGCACATCTTTTTGTTTTGAGGGGCCACAAATCATTTGTTGAGGGGCCACAAGGTAATTTGGCGTTTTTAATGTGCTTGCAAAAACTTTCCACATATGCTTGTATTATACTGCTTAATGTTTTTTTTAATTGTTTTCGCGCACCGCGAAAAAAATTGCTGTCGTGGCCCTCAGCACTGCACTTTTTAAATTTTTCCCACATGACTAACCTTCCACTCTCTCGGGGCTAGACTCTCATCTAAAAACACAAGCCTGTCCCTCAGTCTCCATCGACTTTTGTAGCCATTGGCAACCCCGCTAACATATTTCTTCACATATTCTTTTGATTTTTCCCTTCTGTATTGGGTTCGAATATTGTTCCATTTCCATTTAATATTATCCACTGAAAGCGAAATGATGTTTTGTTATGAATGAAGAATGAAAAGTATACTTGACTTTTACTTATTTTAAAATAGGCCTATAAAATTATTAGTACTGTATCCATAATTCCATATACCTTTAACAAAACTCCTTGCTGCCTTGTTAAATCAATATCCATTCCTAGGCTAGGCCTATGTTAGTTAGGGGCTACAGTCTTGCTAGCCTAGCATAAGAGGCCTACCTTAGTTTAATTAGTTAGGCCTAGCCTTAATTAATAAGAAAATCACGAGGTAAACAACAGCAGCATGAATTAAAAAGAAGGCATATAGGCCTTGATAAGGCCTCTATATGCTAGGATTAAAAACGTATAGGCCTACTCATGCATGGGACAGGTCTAGGCCTAGCACTACAAGAGCTTGGTAGGGAAGGGTACCCAGGCGGTATTCACCCAGGCTAGGCCTAGCTTCTCCCTCGGAGCTTGTTGGTGACCACCTTATCCAAACACATCCGTACCCGAGCGAGGGCCTAGCTTGCTAGGTGGGCTAGCCTACATATAGGCCTAGGCTGAACTAAACCGTACCTTCTGTGCCAAGTTCCATAGCTATTTTTTGCATAGCCGTGTTCCTTATTTCTTTGTCATTGTAGGTTTTTAATTTATTGTCCCACAAACATGGGTTTTTGTGGAACAAATCAATCAGTATATCGATAGTTTTATTGTCTGGCTTCCACTTGCGATCACTGCTTGCTTCCTCCATTTTCTTTTTCTCGAGGGGGAGCAAAGCAGAATGATGATCAAAATCTCTGTGCTCTGATTGGTTTACTGATGCACTGTGTTTACTCATCCATGTAAATTGTTCCTTTAATTAATAATACTGTACCGTACAAATTTGACTTAACACAATTTAATACAATTAAATGTCAAATTCTTTGCTTTATGGTCAAACAGAAAAATAATTGTCTTTATTTACAGTTTGACTTAACCATAAGGCGAGACTTCTGTTATACCTTGTTTAGCCAACCCGCCGCCCACTAAAAATGATGATTTCGAAGAAAAATAAAATTTATTTTTGGCCAATTATCGCACCCGCCGCCACCACGAAAAAAATGGAAATTTCAGATTTTTTTTTTAACGAGGTGCAGTAGGCCTATAAACAAGCCTAACTCAAGACATCGTCCCCAAATATTTTAAGAAGGGGAGGGGGCGGTTGGTCTCCTCACTTTTCTTCTACAATGTAATAATATGGAAGTCAAGAAGATGCCTGAAATGAACTGCATAAAGATCTGGGGCATGAAAAATAAAGTATAAAAACGAAAAAATAAAAGCTATCCTTCCTTTTTATTCAAACGTGCTGAAAAGATTGATTTAATATAGATATCAACGTTTACAGTGGCATATCCAGGAATTTGAAATAGAGGAGGAACGTGGGAAGGAAAGACAATTTCACAGATAGACGTTTATCTTCCTAATCCCCACCATGGTTGAGGCTGACGTAAGAACAATTGATTACGGCACCTCTGAACGGCCAGAAATGGCCGCTCTTAGACTTCAAGTGAATACAATTTTCTCTTTTTTTTTTCAATTTTTTATAATTTTGAAAAATTTAGGGGGTGGGGTGGGGGAACGGGCCTCCCCTTAAATTGGTTTAATATAGGCCTATCAATTCAGTAATTATTAGACAATCGAATTTCTTATCAGGTGTATTCGTATTTTCTAACTTGATGTATATTGACGATGTATAGGGTCTGTCTCTTATACACATCTAGATGTGTATAAGAGACAGATAACTAAGTGAAGCACCAAAAATATGGATGTTGAATATCATCATGAAAGAAGAAATCTTGGCTATGGTAAATAAT